TTGTTAATTTTTGTTGTTGAAAAACACAAGAAAACATGAGCAAACAGGGTAGAGCGCGCGCAGCAAGCGTGCGAAAAAACAACAACAAAAAAAACAAAAAAACAAAAAAACAAAAAAACAAAAAAACAAAAAAACAAAAAAAACGATCAATTGCATGATTCTAAAAATAACACCAAAGAGTGCTCATGTTGGGACGCGGGAATTCTTTTTCTTAGTTCATTTTCTCTTCTATAGGTAGTACGTTGAAGAGCAGTAGTATACGGAACAAAACCGTTGTCTTAAAAAAATAATAAAATCGAAATTTCCCAGACTGATAAAGAGAGAGATCGAAATAGAGAGAGCAAAGATTGTAATAGGGCCATTTAGTGACAGGGAAAATATGCTAATAATAGAAAAATACCTAATATACGTCCTTACTTATAAGACACAATCTGATCCATTCTGAAGTGCGTCTTACATAATATGTATAAACGGTTGGCATCTCATTCGGGGACTTATCTCGGTTTGTGTGGGCTCCCTGTATTGGTGTGCGCCGATGCGCATATTGCGTTGGCATCTCAGCTAAGACCCGATGGCCGTATACAAACATATGTTTGCATGTTATTTAAGGCGTAGCTTAACTTAGAACAGCGCAGACTTGAAATGCAGCAAATTACCTTCAAGAAACAGTTGCCTACGATGTTTCATTTGAAGCTTTTGAAAACGCTGACGTCATTTAGACCGGCAAGTCTGTTTTTCGCTTGCGTGGTTGTTGATATTGCATCATTTTCTATCTTATCTGTGTAAGGATCATTTTAGTGTGGAAGGGCGAAAACAATTTGCAAACGATAGCATAGAAGCGAAGTTTTCGATACGATTTCGTTGAGATAAAACGATATGCTTAACGAGTTTTAGCGGAAAATATAAAAGATAATGAATCTTGAACCATTGTTTGCAAAAAAAAAAAAAAAACTACTTCAATTGGCCTCCTCGCCTTGGGTGTAATGTTGTCCCATTTTAGACCATGCACGTGTCATGTGCAACCGAGCGCAACCGTTAAAGAAAGAAAGGATACTCTTGGGAATGACACGTGGTCATTACGCCCGAGCCGAGGAGGTCTATTTTATTGACTATTCGGACCTTAAAGGTAACGGATGATAAAGATGATAAGCCTAGAGCTTATTCAATTTGTAATGTAAACGGTCATTTGGGTATTATGGAAACGTTTTGGTCAAGAAAGATAACGCTTACGACAAACCTTTTGGTGACGTCACTAAAATAGAAATCCTTCAAGTCAATGTATCTCTCAAGCGCTTGCGCAGAGAAACTATATGGATCAACCTTTAGTAAGTTCGTGTTTTGTGATATGATACGTATACATACTTGATGAATACTTGATGATATACCGCGCAGATCAACTCAAGTTGATACATTATCACCGCAGTTCAAAAATATATATTCTATATATATTCTCATATACATAAGATATACATAAGGAAAAAAAAACTTGACATTGTAGTGTTGAGGTCACTCGTCCATGTACTATAACCAGGCTGACTCCTTCAAAGATTAAGTACCCCCATCCCCCCACTGGACCGTGTCTATGATATCATAACGATAGCCTTGACAACAATGCCCGTTATTTTTGGACTGCAACTTACATGACGTCGTATCCGCCATTTTGGTCTTTTGGACCAAATACTTGGTCTTGGAGTCTTTAATCATGTCAACCAACATGGTGCCCACGTCTTTTGACCTTTTATCCTCAGGGGATGCACGAAACTAATATGCTATATTATTATTTCCATTTGAAATTGAGTATTATTGTAACGGCACCAGTGTGCCTCAGCCGATAATAGACCGGAAATAGAACTTTGTGTAATACGATATCTTGGCGTCCTTTGTATTTTAGTGGATCTTTAGATTGGGATTAAAGGCCGTCAAGATTTCGACAGGAGAACTTTGTATGTGTAAGATTTTCTCGTGTGTTGTCAAGGCCTACTTGGTACAATAGTTTCGGGGCCCTCTTACGTTAGCTGGTGCCATCACAATTAGTAATAATAGTAATAGTAGTAGTAGT